ACCTGATTTCATACACAATACCCACAATTTTTGAATAAGACTTTGGATATTATATACAATGCTAAACGGTACTGTGGTTTCCAGCACGACATCCTCCGATTAAAGGTTCGTAATATAATAATGAAACCAAAACTATTCCCGAAATAATTACCACACCACTACAAAAATAACTTAAAATGAAACAAAAATGATCTTTCGAGCCTGTCAAACAGTCAGTATGCTCAAAATGCCAGTCGTTATATCGAAATTTTATACAGTTTACGACGTCTTGGTGCACATCATGCAGTTGATTTACCAACTGTCGTGTTCTGTGGTAACCAGTCCGCGGGAGAGAGTAGCTTGTTGGAGGCCATTTCCGGTGTACAGGTACAAAAGAATGTAATTTTATTGAAAGTACTACATTACTGAATATAACGAAGGTGACAGAACACTTATTAAAAATTTTGAAACCTTCAAGATTTATACTAAGTTATTGCAAATTCAAACTTTATTATATCGAGATTTTAATATACTTCATTATAACCAGAGTTTGTTATAACCAGTTTTGATTGTACCAACATTCTATCATTCTCCAAAGCATTCAAAATCAAATTAGGTTCTTTGCGCGCAAAATGGAATTGAGTTTGGTGTGGTATTCGTTTTGGAATTAGAAATACGTAGATATGTCATTTGTAACATTATAATTAATTATTGGACTTAATATCAATATTACATGCATTTACGTTTAGTAGAAAGCACAAAGCAACACTTTAATAATCGCTTATCTATAATAAAGCTTACTACAGTACATGCATTACTTAATGTTAACCAGCATAGCAATAGTATACGTACATGTACATGTATTACTAAAAATAGAACCAGTTTTATAAAGAGATTTCTTGATACGTAGCGATAATATATTTATTTGTGCATAATAGTTAAAATTCAAACATTAAAAATTAGCAAACTACATAGTCAACTCCGTTAAACCGAAGTAGTCGTGACTATTAGAAAAAAAACTTTGGTTTTTAATTAGTACTTAGGTTTAACTGTGTAAATGATAGTAACTCGAGAGATTATAATACTCAAAAGTCTCCTTTGTGGTCAAACAAGAAAAAGGTTCGAAAATAGGTATATACAACAGTATTGTGATAATGATGGAAAAAATAAATGAGTAGATGAGTCTACATACTTTCTGTGCGCACTACCGATTAGTCGTTGATGGAATGAGGCAGATGTAAGAGAACGTGAAGGAAGATAAAAAGCACAAGTTAGTCAACGTCGCAAACAGTATACCAAACCTTCCCTCAAATGATAGATGGAGAACTGATAGCACAATTGTTACTCTATATATCCCAACGCCGCGTCGTAAATTCGTTAATTACCACGGACGAACACCTGTAGCGGTGTGTCACCGCTATTTATAAAGCTTTCGTCAACAGCCAGCGATGGATGCAGGGCCACGTCCTCGCCGTGTCTTCCGAGCGCAATTTATCCCGCGTCCACATCTTTTAACGCCCTTACTTCCTTCTTGATCGCCCTTTTCAAATCAACCACTTCTCCATCGCCTCTCACCGTATTGAAACCAGATTTTATAAGTCATAATTACAAAACCTACTTGGAATAAGTTACTGTGTGAATTTATATATTGTTCGGTGATATTGATATCGATATTAATTTTCACACGTTTGTACGCTATACATGTACGTATGCAGAATTAGTATTAAAGAATCATTAACCAATTGTTTTTGTTGATTGAATAGTGCAGAATTCAGCAAAAGTACGTATACAAGACAAGAAGATCAATTCCATTATAAGCTTATACGAATAAATCTTAAAAGTCTAAAATGATAACAGGTAGAAAAAAGTCTTGCTCATGTTTAACACACTCGGATTCTGTTAAACCATTATGTGTGTTACTATAGTTGTGTTATTAAAAGTTTCCCCTGGATTTATAACAAACTCTCGTAAAACTATTGAAAATTATCCAAAGGTTGACAAGTCAAATATAGGTAGAACCTCACTTTTTTTACCTGTGATACATAGCATTGTGCTAAATTTTATATAGCATCAGAATTTGGTAAGAGTCAACATTCGTATGTTCATATTATTTTTATTGAGGAAATTTACAATAACTTTTACATCTTATGTTTATCTTATTTTGTGATTCAGTATCCCAAAAATTGCATTATCCGTATCCGTTTTTTTATTATCAAACAATTTCGTCCATCAGATAATGATTCTGATTGCAAATAAATTTTAATCCATCCCTCCCAATACAAATGTTTCATCTTCTATGTTGGTATTGTTCTGGCGATTTAATTTTTCCACAGAGTTGGAAGCAGCATCTGAATTATCAAAATCTTCTGCTGCAATATTGTGGTTTTTGTCAAATTCATCATTATTTGCGATTGTCTTTTTGATTATTGAGCTTGCTTTTATTGTGTGAAAATTATTCAAAAATATTATACTAAGTATGGTTAAAACGAAATGTATCGAGAGATTGTTAATAAGCATATTGATTTACTAAATTCGTGTTTTTATTATTAAGCTGAAGGATATATAATGAGAGTTATGATCGTAATTTAAAACAGTGTCAATTTTTTTTGTTTATTATTTTAATTGCAAGTTTTATGTTTATATAGATGAAAGAACTTCTTTGCTAATGGTTAAAAGAAATCGACCCTAATTTATAATAACAATGTATTAACCTATCGCTTCCCTTAAATTTTTGAATCATTATGATACAATATAATAATACTGATGCTAATTAACCTTTAATCATTTTAATAGGATATAATTAAAACCAGGTCATCCATGCATTCTTTCAGATCATTACGAACGGAATGTCATCCAATTAATATCATCTGGAAAATGTACTACCACTGTCCAAGTTCAATACGAGCTCCGAGCTGAATTGAGAGTTAAAATTTCAGTGGAAAGTGTACGATGTATGTTTAGAAGAAATGGTTTATTTGCAAGGATTAAATGAAAAAAGCCATCACTTAAAAAAATACACAAAAAACTCCGATTAGAATGGGCAAAAAAATGCCAAAATTGGATGTCAACGACTGGCGAAAAATAATTTGGTCCAACGAAAGCAAGTTCCAACTATTTGGGTCAGAAAAACACAAATGATGCTGGAAGAAGTCTGATGAACAATTAAAAGATCACCATGTTATCCCAACCATAAAATTTGGTGATGGTTCCATTATGGTTTGGGGTTGCCTAACTGCCAACAGAGTTGGTGAACTCTGAAAAATCAATGGCAAAATGGATGCTGCTGAAGTCAATGTCGACATATTAAATACCAATTTTTTAGACACAATTTATGAGAAAATGCTGGAAGATAGCTTATAACACGTGTTTGACACGTGCTTTGAAAAGTAAATAAAAATTCTTATTTTTTGATACATAGGAGTTTTGTTAGGCTCCGTTTCTGATACATACACAGTACGTAGTAATATACATGTATTCACATTTTTTAATACCCAACCTTTTCCGTCTGGTTCATATAGTGAAGGAACGGGTCTATAGAATATCAGTATGGTGAATGAGTATAGTACAGGAAAAAGCTTAACATGTACGTACTACCAGTTTAATGATAACACATACTACTGATAGGATTATAACATAACCTAAAATAACCTATATTCCGAACCCAACCCATATCCTAACCCTTTCCAATACAGTTCATGAAATAGAACAGTCTACGTATTATGTACTGTACTACCCCCACGTGATGTATACCACAATGATATATACATGTATTTCGTTAGGAATAGATTACCTTTTTTATTTATTTATACATGTATCTAATTACGACCATTCCATCGTTCTTTTAATATAACATATGATGATCATCGAGAGGATAACAATCACAATAATTATTTGAACAATCGAGAGTGTCGAACGATAATTAATACACGTAACAGTAATAACGATTATCGAGAATTCCGACAATCATCTGGATGGGTGACGTTTAATATCCCGACAACCAGACAATACATAAGCCCAACAAACGAAATCCCGAATGCACAGCATACCGAAAGCACAAAATCCCGAATGAACAGCATACCTAATGCACGAAATCACGCATTTACTAATTCCCCCAGGTTTCTGATTGGATGCAAGTAATTTCCATCGCAGATTGGTTGACTGCACACCGGGTTTTCTAGACCAGACCGGCAAAACAAATCCGTCACAAGAAAATTAAAATGCGAATAATGTGAAATATACGGAAAATGAATGCTTAAATCTGGCTTGAAGCACTAATGAAAAATGTCAGGAAGGCAATTTTACATATAACATTATCGACTCTAACCCTAACCCTAATTCAACGCTAAAATTAACCTTTAATATTCTCAACCAATCAGAAACCTGGGGGGAAATTAGTAAATGCGTGATTTCGTGCTTTCGGTATGCTATTCATTCGGTATATCATGCATTCGGTATGCTATGCATTCAGGATTTCGTGCATTCGGTATATCATGCATTCAGTATGTTGTTCATTCGGGATTTTGTGCTTTCGGTATGCTATGCTTTCGGTATATCGTGCATTCGGTATGCTGTTCATTCAGGATTTCGTGCTTTCAGTATGCTGTTCATTCGGTATTTCGTTTGTCGGGTTTATGGCTTGTCGGGATTATGGTTTTCGGGATGTCGTACCAGATCCATTATTTTCTTTCGTTTCGTAATCAAACTTCAAACCTTGTGAGTGATTGCAAGTAGTGGATGCTCCTCCACTCTAAATAAGCCGTTGAATTCTTTTGA